GAGGGGAATTAACGGAACGTGGGGAGGGGACGACGAGGACGAAACATATGGGATGTGCGGCGTGCGGCGGTTCAGAGGGGACGCTTCTGGAAAAGTACTGGAAAAGTACACTGGGAGCGTGTTGTGTGCGGGCGCGGGGTTGAAAGGAAAGGCGATCTGCGGAGCGGGGACCAGCTGGAAGTGCTGGTGGTGCAGGGAAGAGGGGAAGGGGAGGGGGGCTGCAGTGAGCTTTGTCGGAAGCGATGTAGGGTTCGGTTCGGATTCTCATTGTCAGCCGGGGCGCGGGGTGGGGTGGGAAGGCGTGGATGGCGCGGATGGCCAATAGCAGCCTGCCAGGCATTCTGTTCCAGACGCGCGCGGGGAGCTGGGGTAGAGGGGGGAGGGCAGCCTTGCACGTGGTAAAGGGTGAAGAGCGCTACCCACCACGGCACGGTGAGTTTGCGTCCAGCTTGTGAGCGTCACCCCTCCGACCGCCGGTCGCCCGTAACCCTGAATGCACGTGTGAAGCCCAGCTGCGTGCACGCGAATCCCATTGGCTCTTTGGTCCTTGTTGGTCAGTTGGCCCGTTTGACATTTTGCGCGTTTTGTTTTGTCCCGTTGTCCCGTTGGTTCTTCTGTGACTGTGGCTCTTTTGGTCGTTCTTTGGCTCTTTAGAGCCCGTTGGTTGTTTGGCTCTTGCGGCTCTATGGCCCGTCGACCCCGCCCGCTCGGGCTCAGGCGCCGCACGACGCTGCCGCGCCACCCCTTGCCGGCGGGACTCACCTCCGGCATCGGCCTCGCCTTCGGCAGGGACGGCGGCAGTCTCCTTCCCTCAGGGGCCCGCGCCTACCCTGCCCCCTCCCCGCTGTCAATCTCACTGCTACTTTTGAGTACATGCTTCTCCCCCCCTCCTTCTCCCCCCCCCCTCCCCCGGCGGTCCGTCCGCAGAGAGTGGCGCTCGTGAGTTTCCTGGGGGAAGGTTGGTGGTCGGGCTGGCAGGCGCGTTGAGGCCGCCCCCGCCCGCCAACATTAAAATTGAATAAGGACGCGACAGGGCGTGGCGAAGTGGGGCTCGGCGGTCTTTGGAGGGGCGGGGCGAGGCGGGGCGGGGCGGGGGGCGCTAAGCACCGTGCGATAGCAGCCCGAGCCATTCCGAAGAGCCCATCAGTCGGCCGGTGTCGCGCCTCGGAAGCCTCAGCCCCGAGGACGGCTCTCCCACTCCCCCGCCCCACCACCACCACTCAAGACGAGAGGAGGAGCTCGCGCCAACAATGTTGCCAGCCGGTCACCGATAATCATTTTTCCCCCGGCCCGGGTCCCGGGGCCCGGTCGGCCCGGTCACTCACCAGACCATCATGACGTGGTACGGCGTCGAGCAGACGAAGAAGACGAACACGATGATGATGGTCATCTTGAGCGTGCGGATCTTGGCGCGGCCCAGGAAGCCGAGGCTGGAGCGGCGGAGCTTGTCTGCAACAGGAAGAGAACCGCGCGCTGTGGAACTATGGACACAATGTGTGGACAACATGAACAAAACACGACACAATCGGACACAATCACACACAATCGTAAGCAATTACACAAAATCGGAAACAATCACGCAGAATTCATGACACAATCTTTCAAAATTCATCCAGGAAACGCGAGAAAACGGTTCCGTTGATTATATGTCTACCCAGGTAGCAGAGCTGCATAAAATGTGCATTTTGTGTCCAATCTAAAAAGCGCCTAAAACGCGTGTAGGCACCAAATATGCGCGTGCATGCGCCTAAAATGCGCGTTTCAACTGGGACATATAATGCGGTTTGAATGCAGTTTGCTCCATTTTGCTGCCTGCGTATCTGATGTTAGACAGGAATTTTTCTGTTGATTCAAATGACTTGCCAAATGCACCCAGAAAAGTATGTTTCTTGATTTCTCCATGGACTTGAATTTTTGAGTACAATTGTTCTTGATTTGAGCCAAAATACTTGGTACGAGAACAATTTTGTTCTTATACCAAGTATTTTGGCTCAAATCAAGAACAATTGTACTCAAAAATTCAAGTCCATGGAGAAATCAAGAACATAGTTTTCTGGGTGTGCTTCAAGGCAAAAATGGCCATATGGTAAAGAATCATTCTTTGAAACGAAGAAAACTCCTTCAAAGTAACGAAAAAATTATCTCATGTTATATGAACGGAAATGGCCGTTGGAACAAAGGAAATTACCATTAGATCAATGGAGCCATTTTCTCGGTGTCTTGGCGTGTCTGGGCGTGTCAAGTAAAGCGCACACCTTACTACCTTTTAAAAAGCAACTGATTTCGAAAGGAACACATCCTAGTTAATCACCTCACGGACTGAACGACATCATCAACAACAAGAGCACGCCGACGACGGTAACCCGACGAGAGTGACTGACTAGTCAGGCGGGGGGGAAAAGGAGAGAGGGAGAGAGGGAAACAAGAGCACGCCGACGACGGTAACCCGACGAGAGTGACTGACACTGACAGCAGCGAGCCACCCCGGCTGCCTAGACCCCGCTTGGGGCCCCCGGCCACTTAAAGACATGGGTGGGTCCAGGTCCCACACCGTAGCATCGCCCGAGGGCGTCTAGACCCGAGAGACCCAGACTCCTCTCTCCCCCACGTCCAGACGACGTCCAGACTGTGTGCCCGGGGCTGGGCGTCGGTCCAGGCATGGGAACACGCGCAACTGCTGAGGCGATTACACAGTGAAGCCACGCAGGTGCGCCTCCTAGCCTTTGTGTCCAGACAGCAAACACTGGACGAACGTTTGTTTGTTCACAATTAACTCACATGCAAAACCGAAAGAGAGAATCAGAGTCAGCGGTTTGGATTGTGTCTGGTTAGGTTCAGTCGTAAATTAATTCCGCTGTTATACTTTCTGTGAGATCAGGTTTACGGAATGTTTTTCACGCGGTTCCCCATTTTTAACAAGAAGTGTACGAGAGAGCTTCGGAGTATAGGGCCTAGGAACATTCCCATTGTATCGCATACCGGGGGAAGAAGAGTGGCCCTGAGGTATTTCTCCGGCAGCCGAACAAACGTAGGGGGGCAGGGGGCAGTCGGCATCAGCAACAAGATAGAGAGCGCGGAGGGAGAGAGAGATAGAGAAAGAGGGAGAGAGCGGAGGGAGGCAGGGAGGTAGGGAGGCAGGGAGGGGGGAGAGAGAGAGAGAG